GTCCCCACGAATCTGGGGTGTCCCCAGGAACCGGGGGTGCCCCCACCTGTGGTTGATGATGCGGTGCACCGTCATCCACTCGGGTTTGATGCCGTAGCGGTAGAAGCGCTCCTCCATCCCCCCGAAAAGGGGGTCCCCCCCGGCCCCCCGCTTCTCGCTCTTGGGGTCGTCGTCCCCGGAGCCGTAATCCAGGGGAGGGGGCTCGTCCATGTCGTTCTTCCGCTGGTAGTTCCGGTACATCACCAGGTGGAAGATCTCCAGCTGCGCCCCCAGACACAGGGGACACCCCAAAATTAAAGGGGGGCACCCCAAAGTTAAATGGGGAACCCCGAAGTTAAAGGGAGCACCCCAAAGTTACAAGAAATCACCCCAAAATTAAAGGGAATCACCCCAGAATTAGAGGGGACACCCCAAAATTAAAGGAAATCACCCCAAAATTAAAGGGAATCACCCCAAAATTAAAGGAAATTACCCCAAAATTAAAGGGAATCACCCCAAAATTAGAGGAAATTACCCCAAAATTAAAGGGAATCACCCCAAAATTAAAGGGGGCACCCCAAAATTAAAGGGGAACACCCCAAAATTAAAGGAAATCACCCCAAAATTAAAGGGGAACACCCCAAAATTAAAGGAAATCACCCCAAAATTAAAGGGAATCACCCCAAAATTAAAGGAAATTACCCCAAAATTAAAGGGAATCACCCCAAAATTAAAGGGGGCACCCCAAAGTTGAGCCCCCCCAGATTTTGGGGCGTTCCCTCCAGATTTTTTGGGATCCTTCAGGATTTTGGGTTATTTTGGGGTTATTTTGGGGTAATTTGGGTTATTTTTGGTTTTTTTGGGGGGTTATTTTTGGGGTAATTTTGGGGTAATTTGGGGTTATTTTTGGGGTAATTTGGGTTATTTTTATGATTATTTTGGGGTAATTTGGGGTTATTTTTGGGGTAATTTGGGGTTATTTTTGGGGTAATTTTGGGGTAATTTGGGGTTATTTTTGGGGTAATTTGGGTTATTTTTATGATTATTTTGGGGTAATTTGGGG